TTTATTCATACTCGAAATTTACACCCCTGTAAGAAACAACAATGTAAAAAACAAAATCAACTCCCACAAAAGTTGATTTCAGAAGAAGCAATAATTCCTGAGTTTCTAAAAATTTCATTTTTTCTTCCTAAATCAGTTCCTAATCAGATGTGCAACCAGAAAGCAATATCTAGAGCCACATTTTATTGAATTGCAAATCAACTCTAATTCGTAAAATGCGACCGAAAAATCTTTACTCCCGAAAACTGACAGAAACCCGTTTCTTGATAGTCTCCCGACAAGACGGGCAATCCTTCATACCTTCCTTCTCGTGAAGAGCATTGCACGATCCGCAAAGAACCTGATGAGCACACGGCAAGAAAACAACCGAAATCTCGTCTGTCATGCACATCACACACTCTCTCTCCTCCTTCACATCACCAGTCCCGAAAATCTCCTGAAAAACTGCCATTCTCTCTCCTCTGTATTTAGGGACATTCGGGCCGTAGCCCGCACTTAGAGCAGCTATTTTTTCCTTGTCCGATTCCATCTTCAATTCGGATATCATACTTTGGAGATTCTTGATGTCTTCTTCAAACTTGTGTTTTTTCACCTGCGCCGTTCGGTTTATGTTGTCAACTTCTGCTTTCATCAGGGTCTCTACTTTCTCCCTTTCCCCCCTCAGAGAATCAAGTAGTTTTTCTGCTTTTACTCTCTCTTTCTCTTCCTGCCTCAACAGGACCTAGGGGAAGATAATAATAGTGTTGCATTAAGCTTTTTACTGGACGATAAGCCACACGACATATTTTGGAACAAGGCAAAAACACCATATTAAAAAGTGCTAATAACCCCAGAACGCATTATCAGAATGTCTCCATGGTAACTTCTCAACAAATATGCAAGCTGCCTTTTTTCAGGATACAATTTTGTAAAACAGCTTATTTTAGTTTATTTTTTAAGAGCAAAACTTCAGGGGTACCATGGCAACAGTTGCCCCTTATTCAAGAATTTCAGTCAAGATACTGTAGAGGAACTTGAAGAACACCACAAGATAAAAAAAATTTACACACAAAAACAATCATCAGGCATCGGAAAAAACAACAAAAAAGCACTTAGAAATTCCAACTCGGCGTTCTTTCGAAACAGAGCAATATATACCTTGAACTGATTCTGCCGATTTTTCATCTTCCCAATCCGACTCTCCAACTCAGCCTTTTCCCGTCTCGTAATACTCAATTTCTCAACCATCAAACCCTTCTCTACCTCACAAACCTGCAATTTCTTCATCATCTCCTGCTCCTTCGCAACAGCCTCCTCCAATTTAACCGCCGACCCACGAGCCTCCATCCTAGCATCCTCCATTTCCCTCCTCAGCACATTATTTTCGACTTCAAGCCGCCTAACGGTACAGCTGGTCAGCTCGATCTGACCTGTCGTGTTAGCCAGTGCGTTATCCATTTCTGCCAGACGCTTAACCATACTCTCCTCCACAGTCTGTTTATCCTTCTTAGATTTCTCGATATCCTCTTTCTCTTGTCTAAGTGTTTTTAGTTCAGCGTGTTCCTTCATGAGCTTCCCGGCCGCCTGCATGACTTTCTCGTTCGCCCAGTTACACCACCCTTGAAGCTCCCTCTCGAGCTCAGCCTTGAGGGGCACGATCATCAACAGCAACTTATCTTTTTCATCCTTCGCCACGTATTCCTGGAGAATCTCGTCAAATGGGATTTGTGCATAGTAATTGGTCGGCTCTTTGGGAGGATCGGGGAACTTAACGACTTTCTCTCCTCCTCCCCGACAAGTGCCGGGATTTCTAGCCGGAAATGCAGAAACCGGATCTATATCGGCCAGCTGTCGATTGACTATATTTTTTTCCTCTTGTTCAGAGATACTTAACCTCGAGTAGTTTTCCATCATTACCACACCTGACTGAGACTTGAGTGTCTGATCTAGGACCATGCTTCCCCAAGCAGCCACTTTGGCTTTAAAGCTTCCTTTTGTAAGCCGGCCTCTGTAGTTCTTCTCGAAATGGACGGCCTTCTGACGGAGCAAATCCCTCTTGAAATGAATAGCTGGCGCCTTTTTATTGCCTCCGGCAGCCCCCGGTTTCTCGTCCATGTCAGCAATGCCCGGAAACCTCGCCTTCAGTTCCTGAAGAGAGATAGAAGCCTCTTTCCTCGATCCAACTGGGCCTGGGCCGGGCTTTCTGTATTGGGCCGGCCCAACAGTCGGCGTCTCAGGGTGAAAGATCTGGGCCCGTGGATCCCCCGGCTTTAGGGCGCCTAATTTTCCAGAAAGTTCAACCGGGCTTCCTCCGTGGGCTTCTTCTGGGCTCCATCTCAGCCCACATGCAGTAGCAAGGTCCATGTCACTCACCAACAGGCACCACATTACCTCAGTTACGGTCAGCTCGGGCCTGAGCTCTCGAACAACGTGGATCATCTCGAGCAGTGTGTACTCGACCAGGCTCCGGAGGCCTTCAAACACGGTTTTCTTGGGCATCTTCACGTGCTCGTTCATCTTCAGCAGAGCCAAAGCTCCTTCGAAGATGCTGGACTCGGCATCATTAGTGCCGTTAAAGTTGCTGCTGTTGAGGATGGCCCACTCGGCAGTTTCTTCGGTGTAGCCACACCCAACGAGCTTTTTGGCGGCACTGGCGAAAGTCGTTGACAAGAGGCTCGACAGAAGTTCCTCGAGCTGGAAGGTGATTGGGTCGTCCCATTCGGCATCATCTACCTCGTGTTTTTCCACTTTTTTGTCCTTACTGAGGTCCTTGGATTTCTCGAGGATCGAGCTCAGTTGTCTGAACGCACTCTGGAAGTGCTGCTCGAGCAGTTCGTACTTGGGGAATTCGGTCATGGATAAGGACGGTGGCAGGTCCGGGGGGTGGAATGTGAGATCGGACGAGCATTTTCGTTTGTTTCGGCACTTTTCGTTAGCCGAGGCAGATGAATGACCTTCAGTGCCACCAATCTCACCCATTTTTGTCTACTTTTGAATGCTGTATGTAATATCAGCAGTAGCATACATCCAAATGAATACATAATAATTGTAAAAAAAATTGGAAGGAAATGGAACAGAAGGAATGAAATTAAAAGATTGAATAGCAGTATGTCTTTATAAGAAGATTATACTAAATGTTACGATCATAAATGCATACAAATGGCAATAAGAAATTAAAACAATTGTCTTAGATGAAGGCACATATGACGGCGAATGACATTATTTAGTAATGGTGGCAGAATATTGGTATATATTTATGAGAAACTACCCTAGAAAAAATTATCCATGATCATAAATGCATACAAATGATGAAAGCAAGTAACAATGCTTCCAATGATTAAGCAAAGCAACACAATTCAAATTAAGTCAACAGAACAACCACAAAAAAGTTATGGATTGTATCGAATGGAAGATGTTTTCATCATGAACACCTAATAAACGTGTAAAAATAATATGACACATGGTTCTCAGTTCGCACAGCTTTGACGCTGTCATTCCTCTATAACTGAATCAAGGACATTTTAAGGACTGATCCGGACCAATACAATGGGCATGCTCGTGCGATTACAGAATTCAAAAAAAGAGCACAGAAAATAGGAAACAAAAAGCAGGTATTAGACATTGATTTAAAAGCAGTATTAGTATTACTTTATCTATCAACTCATGATCAAAGAATGGATAAAATGGAAGATGTGCAAACCGTAGATTGTTACTAAAACAAGACACAAGAAAGTTCCTTGATCTCCTCATAATCTAATCTAATCATGATCAGTGAGAAAAACAGGGCAAATCCGCAAACAAGAGAAGATGCAGTAGAAATAACAAAAAACGTACAAAAAAAAAAAAAAACAAATCTTTCTATTTATCCAACAAGCAAAACCCCTGATCCAAACTATTCATTTATCGATAATAGAAACACATCCACCAGAAATACACCAACATTCAAATAAAAATCCCATCAATCAATAATCAAATGTACCTGCAAAGTTTCCTGCAAAAACCCTTCTTAAAATTTTCCTGCATTAGCATCACTCAAATAATTCAGTATCGGTATTTCACCAAGTATTCCCAGTTAACAACACAATGGGTAATATTTACGAAAGCAACAAAAAGAATAAAAGGCTCAGAAAACATATATAAACCTCCAAAAAGTAAATTAAAAACTTCTATAAGAAAACTTCAAGAAACACAACAGCAGTAAAATGTAAACTACTAAATGAATTAAACCCCCCACAAGAAAGAGCAAACAATCAGAGTAACAATATTTTTCATTTCTCACTAATATCAAATAAAATCAAGAACCCTCAAGAAAGAACAGCCAACTAAATTGAATTCTAATTACAACATACAAAACCCACAAAAATTGAGCAAATAATCAGTTCAATAAAAATTTCACTCTCACTAAAATCAAATAATTGATCAATAACCTGAAAAAAGAACAGCCAACTAAATCGAATTCGAATTAATCAGTGAAAAAGCAAATAAAAAAACCCACAGCCATGAGCAAATAATCGGAGCAACAAAGTTTTCATTTGTCAACTAATTGAATTCGAATTAATCAACGAGAAAGGGCCACTCACAGAAACAGCGTGAATCCAAAAGTATTATAAGCTTCCAATGATTTTCGCAGGTTAAAAACACGCAGATTCTCACACGCACACAAAGCTTCCACTGTGTAGTGTTCAGAGGCTTCAGCGTATATATGGCGTCTTGTGGCCGAGTTAAGCACAACCCTCTTTTAACCCTGGTTGGTTAAACTGGGAATTGTGGATTTTACAGAACCCATTTGGCAAATTAAAAGTGATAAAACCCTAATTAATACCCCAAAGTCCAACCCCTTTTTGCATTATCATTATCTGTATTTTTTTTATTTTTTATTTTTTTTTTCTTAGAGGTTTTGACATGCTGATGTATAATATGGGAGAGAGATGTTCAATGATTTGCGGGGCAAGACAAATATGTTAAATGAGTTATTTGTATAGAGTTAATACATTTAGCCCTAAAAAAATTATATATTTCCTACTTCTTTTAATCAGAGTTTTTTTTAGCCCGAACGATTTCCCACTAACAGATTTATATTAATATAAATTTAGTTTTATTATATATATTTATTTCTTGATAATAGAAAAAATTAGTGTACTCACGTGCGCTGCACGGTGGGGTTTATTCCTCAAACTCTTTTTTCTAAACTTTATTTCAAATATTTTTTCTTAAAATTTATTTATTTGATTATAATGGAAAAGAAAAAAAAAAAAGAGAAACACAAAGTAAACAAAAATCATATATTATGTAACACTTCTCTATACACAACATTCTTGATTTGATTTTCTGTCAAACTTCTTCTCCACAAATTAAAATTTTCAGACTCTTTCTGTTTGTAACACGGGAGACAGCGACATACAACTGGTCATGACTAAAAAATGGTTTTATTCAAGAATAAGTCAATATGAGATAATGATTGATCTTGACTCTTGTTTATAGTCATTTGCGTAATAAAACCATGATGGAAAACTGTCTTCTTTGGAATTTCAATGGTACTCTAACATCATAAAGAGTTAGAGTCATGTGAGGTATCATAACTTTATCACCTGCATGGTCGCCAGTAAGAATTTTACACTCGAGAATATGATTGGAATACTTGGTCACAACCAACTGTGTCCCATTGCACAGGGCTATACTTGCGCTGACATTGGAGCCGTAGAATCTGCACATGCATACATGTCGTTGTTGAAAATTAAATATTATTTAGACTAATGCAAATTTGAATTGAGTTAAATATTAATTCTATTATCTCATTGCACGACATGTATTTAGTCTAAATAATATTTAATTTTCAAAGTGTATTAGTTCTATTTAACTCAATGGTTTATTGGAAGTGTACTAATTATATTCTCTCATTGCATAAGTTAAAAATTATTTAGACTAATTCAAATTTGAATTGAGTATGAATCCTAAACGAATGAGTAGTCGTAATGTAATTTCTAACGCTAGCAAAAGTTTGTTTTAAATTCTAACTAACTCAAGAATGAGATAATAGATTATAGGCCAAGTTTTTCTCTGGATTATTTTACAAAATATATCTATTCATTCAAATCTTATATAATTCTATCAATCGTAGTGATAATCGCTACATTAACTTAACCTCTCTCTCGAGCAAGCTAAATCATTGATGAATTGCTATCTATCTCTTATCGGTCTCAAGATGAACAATTAAACTCCCTCAGTTCCTAAGATTCTAATTCCATTGTAAAAAAAATTCAAGCTTTCGGTTTGTTTATCTCTTATGTTATAAATTTCTCAATTCTAGCAATAGACCTTCTCATCTCGGTCTCAAGTTAATCACAAATATGCATAAATATGAGAGCTACATTCACACAATAAATATAAGCAAAAGAAATTAACAAACGAAAGATACAACAGAATGAATAAATAAAACTACTTCATAAAATTATCCGAGTAATCACAAATCCTATAATCCCAAAAAAAGTTTAACTACTAAATATGTTCTCAAATCTAAAAATAAATAAATAAATGCGTTCAATAAAGAAGAAAATAGGAAAAGAAAGAAAAGCTATTGTTGTTGTGTAATTTTTTATCATTAATCTTGACTCTTCTGGATCCCTCGTGTGTCTCGTGTTTTTTGTCTGTCCCTAAAAGTGACAAAATTCCCCAAAATTGAGTTCTCTAACTCTTTTTTTATAATGTAGGTTGAACATATGTTGAAAAGGGAAGGAAATCGCACGAAACCCCTATGCTTCGTCGGGTTGGACTCTACTTCACATGAGTCATGTGACTTAAGGATGTAGCTTTAGTAAGCAGTGAGCAAAGTCGTATTCCACAAATATTGTCTTTAAAATAATTAGTTATTAAAATATTGATAAATATTATTTAGACTAATTCAAATTCAAATTGAGTTTTAATTCTAATCGAATGAATAACTGTAAAGTAATTTCTAACACTAGCGAAGACTTGTTCTAAATTGTAACTAAATCAAAAATGAGAGAATTTATAGGCTAAGTTTTCCTCTCATATTCCCAGACTCACACGACTCATGTTAGTTAATGTCACATATCACACGAGTCGTGTCAAAAAGCCGTAAGCAAGTCCCTTTTTTTCGTGGCTCATGGACCACACCACACTAGTCCCGTGACCTCTTGTGTACCTCATTTTTCTCGTCCCGATTCTATTTTTATTAATGCTTTTTAGACATATTCCTTGCAAAAATTAACAGTAAAAATACATCTATCATAGATTAGTAAATAAAAAAACCTTGCACAACTCAACAATATAAAGTACTAAACATATCAATCTATCACTCAGAATGCACACAAACATCCTTTGTTATTCATCCAAATTTAATTCATAACATAGTCATTATTTTTACTTTTTTCATGATATACAAAATAGACATTTACATTAAACATTAAAATAAAAATTTTAAATTATTTAAAATAAACTTTTTAAATGGTGATTCGAGACAAGGTTCTTCCACCTAGAACTGCAAGCATTGACCTTATCGAGTTTTTTTTTTTGTTTTTTTTTTTTTTAATTTCTCGAGCTTGATTTTTTAGGCTCGAGCTTGACTCGATAAAAATTTACAACAGTTCGAACTCGAAATCAAAATGCTCGAGCTCAACTCGAAAATTTTTAAGTGGAAAAATAAAATTATCATTAAACACATATGTTAATACATATAATAAGGAGTATTTTAGTAATTAGCGTGTATTTCGAGCCGCTCGACAAGACAAAATATGGACTCGAGCCGCTCGAGTTCGGTCAAATTCGAGTTCGAGTCGAGCGAATAGCTCGCGAGCCGCTTGATTCGTTTGCAGCCCTATTTCCACATAAAGGCTTTTAACTACTCGGCGGATTCCCAGACTCCCTGACTCCGGGAAAAAAAGAGCAAAATTACAGAAAACCAATCTTCTCATGGAGAAGGAGAAGACCACTCCCAAGCAATCCAAACGGGTATTTTTTTTTTCTTTTTATATTGATTTTCGTAGAGATAAACCCTCTAATTTCGTTATTAATATTATCTTACTGCACTTTATTTCATTACATTATAGTTTGCGAAATCACTCATTGTCGGGCTTAATGATGTTCTGATGCTGTTGATGAATTAATTTGTTCGATTTGTATGCACCCTTTGAATTTTGAATGTTGGCGTTAGTACTATGATTAGTTATTTATTTATTTTTTCTGATTTTTCTCTGCTTCAATTTCTTGATATTTAATGTTCGATTTGTCGGGCTCAACATGTTTGATAAAATGCCTCTGAGAGATCATATGATGATAATCCCACATTTTTCCCATCTGCTTCATGTGGTCTTAGCCATTTGGGGCTACTACCTGCAGCGGGATGGAATTGTTCAGCGTGCAATGCGGGGAATGCTTCAAATGGAGGCTAATCCAAACCCAAGAAGAGTATGAAGACATAAGGAGCAAACTCGAGGAGGACCCGTTCGTGTGCACCAAAAAATCGGGAGTTTCTTGCGATGACCTGGCAGACATCAAGTACGATAACACCCATTTGTGGGTCATCGACAAGCCGAACCTCCCCAAGACCCCGGCCGGTTTCAAGAGGATTACAGTCGTGCGCAAGAACCACTCTAAAGTGGATTGCTATTACATCACGCCTAACGGGAAAAGGATGAGGGCCTTGACCGATATTGCAAGGTTCCTGGAAGAGAATCCCAAGTACAAAGAGAGTGTATCGATCCATGATTTTAGCTTCAATGGTCCCAAGGTTGTGAAGGGTACTATACCCGGGCTTTGAAGCCGAGAAGAAGTGATTATTTTTATTTATTTATTTTTATTATTTTTTTTCTGAAGAGTATTCTGTTTTGATGTGTTCGGCGTAGTTGGGTCTTTGTTATGTCTGGTCTTGCGAGCCGTCTTTGTTAATGAGAATAGAGTAGTGAACCGGTAGTTAGCAGCTAGAGACTTTTCACGATTTGTGCAAAATTTGGAACTTCCATTTCATGTGATGGTATTGTTCTTATTTAACTATCTTCGGTTGGCGAAACTTCCCCTTTTTGTTTTGTTGGTATAAGGAAAAGCAACTCGGCGAACGTAATTGCTTGGTGGTATCACTGTGAGGTCAGGATACATGATACTGTTCTGTACAAGCTCGCTAACATTTCTTTTACGGACATGTTATGTGCAGACTTATACTCTCGGAGCCTGATGGATTTGTTTGACGATGAGATATGATTTTGTAGTTGTTCGTTTGCACCTTTTAGTGTATAGTAAAACATATGGCAGTTGCTGGACACCAGAGTTGGAAGCCATTTCTCTGTAAATCTATTATTATACAGAATGGTCTTCACTCATCAGTTGTTTGCCTTTTTTTAAGGTATTATTTGATTTGCAAATGCTAGTCAGGTTTTGTGTACTCAAACCTACCTCGAAGGCAAGAATCTCAATTTCTGACATTCGCTCCTGGAGTTGGAGCACCAAATTTGTAGGCATTCATGAGAGGAAATTTTGTGGTTTTGAAAGGGAGTGCACTCTTTATCTTGCCTCGAACTCGCATAAAAATTATCCAGACTGTCCCCCAAGAGTTTCCTATTTTCTTGGATAGCACGTTTTGCATCCATGATGCTCGTCAGGTAATTTCATTCCTTTCTTGCTCTGTTGTTTCAGTTGGGACTAATAAGTAACATGTATGCCATGTTAAACCAGCATAGGTGCTTCTGTCTGGTAAATAATTCTAAGGATTATATAGATATGATTCTTAAGAGCATTCGGAGCAGAATATAAAAGAGTAAACAGAAGGCCGAAAACAAATTGCGATTCGTGTGGTTTTGACATCATATATTACGAATGGTTTTTCTCATATGATGTTGAAATCACATAAAACGAAAAATCCCATCCCTTTACAAGAATACAAAATTAACTAACAAACAATCAAAGATTCAATTCTTTAGGAGTTTATATATCATGACATGAAAATGAATCAAGACCTGTCTGGATCCTGAGTGTAGTTTCTTCTCATGGCCCTTTTCCTGCTACTGATAAACGCCTCACACTTCTCGTTTATATTCGAGGCCACACTCAGAAGCGGGCCCCAGTGCCTCGGGGGCCTCGGTTTTTCTTCCTCGTGCTCCCGATTTTCGACTATAGCCCCACCCTTTTTCTCATTGATGGTCACGCTCTTTTTTGGGCGCCTGACAGCCTTCTCCGAGTTTCGGACCGGAATTGGTTTGTTCTGCTCGTTTT